GAGAGAGAGAGAGAGAGAGAGAGAGAGGACGACAGACAGACAGAGATAGAGACAGAGACAGAGAATAAAGAGACGGAAAAAAGAACGAGACAAAGTCAAAGAGAAAAAAACGATAGATGGCAGAAAGCCACAGAGAGATAAGTATAGATCAAGCGTTAAATATTAAAAGTAGTCTTTTGGATGACCCAGTGTATTAATGTCATATATAGATAAAAATCGTCCTTGTTTAATCTCGTTCTAACGGTATTGCGTGCGGTTGGATATTCTTTAACGAACTTGGGCCTCTAATAATAAGAGCAAACATCACTGGTCTGGGCAGATCTATAGCAGAATAACAATATTATGCAACGGCAGCTCGCGACCGTGAAGGATGGAAGGTCATTATACGTCAACGCTGAGTCAGAGATGACACCTCCACATAACAGATCATCCACCCGACATGTCATCCTCTCGAAATATCATACCACTGTATACCACCCCACCCCTCTCTCCAACCTCCCCCCCCCCCTAGCCCTTCCCCTCCCTTTTTGAAATGTACGAGGGGTAGACCAAAAGTTTTTTTTTACCTGACCATGAAGGAATAAAGGTAGAACGTTGAAATTTGGGGTGAAAGCCTAGACTTATCTTCCTAGAATGGTTGTAAATTTGGGGGAATTTCAGATTACTGATTTTACAACCAGCGCACTGTAAGTGAATGGGGGTATGTTGTTCTCCAGTTCCAACATAAAAATGGAGAAAATTGTGCGCAGTGCAGTAATGAAGTATTTGTTCTTGCCAGGCAAGCAACTACAGGATATTTTTTACGGAGATGCGTGCCGTATATGGAACTGATTGCCCATCCTATGCTGTGATAAAATTTGGGTATAAAAAAGTGATGATGAGGTCAAAGAAGTGGTAGAGGGCTGTTTTTTTTTTTTAACATAGAGAGAGTCCTCTATTCTCAAGGTCTTTTCAAGGTCATACACAGATGACAAACATGACGTATAACTCTGGGAGGGGACTTCATAAAGAAAGACTAAGCTAAGTGCCAAATTTCAGCTTTCTACATGTACCTTTATTTTCCTTCATGGTCAGATTAAACACTTGGGTATGCCCCTCGTATATCCCCTAACTTATTATTATCGTATTGACTTGTTATCTTCATTTCGCAATAACACTGTGTCATATTATTATGCTCCACGTCTGTCTGTCTGTCTGCCTGCCTGCCTCTCTTATATCCACTCACTCTTTTTACTCCCTTTTCTCTCTCCGCTCCGTAACTCTATCCCCCCCCCCCCACTTCTCTCTCTCTTTCCATCTTGCTCGCTGCTGTTCTTTTTCTCTCCAAGAGGGTGGTTGGCATGAAACTAATAAGACGTCCTGGCCATTTTTTCCCACCCTATTTTTTCCTGTCGGTTTATTTTGCGTCTGCTTTGATTTTAATGGCCGAGGTCTAACCGACCTGCTTTTCTTTACTCGGCTTAAACTCATTGTCTTTCTCTTCCTATCTTTTCCGCCTGTCCGTCTGTCTCTCGCTGTCTCTCTCTGTACCTCTTTTTCTTTTTCTCTCTCTCTCTCTCTCTCTCTCTCTCTCTCTCTCTCTCTCTCTTTCTCCCTGTCTCTCTGTCTCTATGTCTCTCTCTCTGTCTCTTTGTCTCTCTCTCTGTCTCTCTGTCTCTATGTCTCTCTCTCTCTGTCTCTTTGTCTCTCTCTGTCTCTCTCTCTGTCTCTGTCTGTCTGTCTGTCTGTCTGTCTGTCTCTCTCTCTCTCTCTCTCTCTCTCTCTCTCTCTCTCTCTCTCTGTGTATCTCTTTTTCTTTATCTCTCTCTGTCTTCTCTGTTTGTGTCTGTCTGTCCGTCTGCCTATTTGTCTCTGCTTCTCTGTCTGTATGTTTGTGTCTCTCTACATGTCTCTCTACATGTCTCTCTCTCTCTCTCTCTCTCTCTCTCTCTCTCTCTCTCTCTCCCTCTCTCTCTTTCTCTCAGTCTGTATGTCTTTCTATTTCTGTCTCCCTCTGTATCTGTTAATGTCTGTCTATCGGCCAGTCAGCTCCCCTTTCACCTCCCTCCATCCCTCCCTTCCCCCCTCAACCCCATTCTCTCTCTCTTTCCTATCTCTCTCTCTCTCTCTCTCTCTCTCTCTCTCTCTCTCTCTCTCTCTCTATTTCTCTCTCTCTCTCTTTCTCTCTCCCTCTCCCCATTCTCTCAACATCTATAACAAAGAATGTCTATTCCCTTTAGGCCTAAATGTAATATCCGCGTCCCCTGTTATGTCGAAATCAGAAAGGGGTAACGGGGTGGGTGGGGTGGGAGGATGTGATGATCCTCTGCAAGTGTTATCTTTGGCCGAAAAAAACACTGTGGATTTTCCTGTCTCGTGCTTTTCGAGCGTCCTTGGGGTGAGGAAGATGAGTCAATGTTTTAACAGTGTTGTCACAAGACTACAGCCCGCCACATTATAAATAGTCACACACCGGAGTGGTGGGTCAGACCGAGACGACGCAGTCCACAAGACACACGTAGAAACAGCAGAACAACTCCTTACTTTGTCATCTACGCTCAACTATCCCCAACTACTTTGTTGATCAACATGCTCAGATATTTCGTCTTCGCTTTACCAGCAGCCTTTGCTTTGTTGGCTTTGACTGTCACAGCTCTGCCTACCGATACCAGTGGCTCTAACATCTGCTGTCAGGGAGACCAGGTGAACTTCACGGCTCTCTCCGAGAATGGCACATCGGCAGGAGGGAAAGGCATCAGGTAAATTAGAGAAGCAGATATTACACTTATAAGTCACAATTTAAGTCTACTTCCTGCCTCGTCGCAACACGCACCATTTGAAAACAAATTATTATGTAGGCCTGTACGTTAGTATTGTTAGCTTAAGGAAGAACGGTTTCTATTACAAGCATGACTCTTTGTGTCGATTGCCAATATTCCAAGAAAAAAGAAAGTTTAATATATTTCATAAGGACAAAGTTGCAGTACAGGCAAATATAACTTAATGGTAAACCAGGAAAACAAGAATAAAACTACAATGCAGAATCCAGTCATTAAACTTGCTGACTCTAAGAATCAACAGAAAACGAAATAGCGATTACTGTGTAGGAAATAGAAAATGAGATTTATAAGTCATAACATGTCCTCATTATGTCAAAAGGAACATAATATTATGAGTTATTAGCCTTAACATTATCTCAGTATGTGATATTAAGATATTAACCTAACACTTTTTCTGAATGTGATATTTTAAAAAGTGAGTTATTGACAATGACATTTCCCCTCTAGCTTATGTAAAAGAGTTGTTAGTCTGAACTTCCTTTGTATATGAAATAGAAAAGGTAAGTTATTAGCCCTAACAATATCTTAGTATGTGAAATAGAAAAGGTGAATTATTCACTGAATATTTTCTCATTATGTAAGATAAAAAAGAACAGTTATGAACCTGAACATTTTCCCAGTTTGTGAAATAAAAAGATGAGTTATGAGCCTGAATATTTTCTCATTATGTGACACTGAAAAGACGAGTTATGAACCTGAATATTATTAATTATTCAGTACGTGATATATAAAAGATGTGATATTAACCTGAACATTTCCACCTGCGCTACTGTTACTAGATTTCTTACTCACTGGCACGAGCCTTAAGATTAAATATTGCAGACTTCTTCGTTCATATTTTTTCCTTCGACTTTTCAAAAAGGAGATATTATAGTATTTTGGTTGGAATTCTAACAATATTATTTGACCAGTTAAGTACAGTTTATTTAGGGATTCTGATATTTGAAGGGTGTTTTTCTTGGACATACCAGTGGCTTATAGCATACCGCTTGCTTCGTTCAGATATCAGGCTTCCGAGCAAAGAAATAAACAATCTCGTAGATGCATGTGCACACTCATAATAATATATCATAATTTATGTGCGCCCACGATAGATAGATAGATAAATAGATAGATAGACAAACAGGCAGACAGACAGACAGATAGATAGATAGATAGATAGATAGACAAACAGGCAAACACACAGACAAACAGATAGATAGATAGATAGATAGATAGATAGATATATAGATAGATAGATAGATAAGATAGATAGATAGATAGATAGATAGATAGATAGATAGATAGATAGATAGATAGATTCAAAGGTATGAATGGACACATTTATGCGTTTTCCCGCCATATCTACATTAGATTTCACGTTTATTGTGCCCTCTCCCAGCCAAACCACCCCCTAAACACACGCAAAACAAGGAAAACTTCTTAACAAAATCGACAACAAGAACAAGGACAAAAACAACAGCAATAACAACAACAATAATAATAACAACAACAACAACAACAATAGCACCACCATCAATAAGTGACAACAGTATTAATTATGCTAACAGCAACAATAAAAACACCGGTCTGGTACTCCCCATTTTTTATGGCCAAAGGATTGAGTATTGTCGACTGCTTCGATTTGAGTTATTCCTCATTTTCTCCATTGTCTTCCTAATTTATTTTCTGTTTTCTTCGAACCATCTAGGTCATCCATCAATGCCAAAGTCAACCTTGATTTCATCAATAAGCGACTTTCTTCCAAAGGCGTCATGATCGTCAACGACGAGAGTGGAAGCACTACAATCAACTTTTGGGTGATCACCAAGTCTGACAAAACCATTTCCATCAACGAGGCCCAAAAGATGTGCATTGAGATCCCTCTCATCTGGTATCCAAAACTGTGCGTGCCCTCCACAGCTCAGAAAGTGGGGTCCTTCGTGTACGGGCCTGTTGGCCAAACTTTCCAGACTGACGCTTACAAGTAGGGTTTGGGGTTTTGTTTTTCTTCCTTTCATATTTTGTATATTATTGAGAATGCTCTATGCGTTTCCATTGCTGTTGTTATTATTGTTGTTGTTGTTGTTTGTTTGTTTGTTTTTGTGGTTGTTTGTTTGTTTGTTGTTGTTGTTGTTGTTGTTGATATTGTTAGGGTACCGGACTCGTAATCGTAAGGTTAAAAAAAAAGCAACAAAAACTCCCAACAAATTCAAACAAATAAACAACAACACAACAACAACAACAACAACAACAACAACAACAACAGCAACAACAACAACAACAACAACAACAACAACAACAACAAAAACAATAAAAAAGCAAAACCAAGCAAAGCAAAACTAATCAATAACAAAACAAAGCCAAACAAACCGCAAAACAAATGCTTTCAACATAACACAGAACAAAACAAATAATAATCCATCAAAAGCAGCTATAAAACAAATTTTAAAAAAGACCAAAACTCTAAAAACAAAACAACCACAACAACCCCCCTCCCCCAAACAAAACAAAAACCAACCAACAAATAAACAAATGCAACAAACAAGCTCTCTCTACCCACAACAAACAAAACAAACAAAATATGCATTGAAAACAGATTTAAACTAAACATTCTGCTATCGGGCGCTTTGGCTAATTTCGAAGGTGGTCAACTTCCAAATTATAATGTATTATCCTCAGGATCTTTGCCCATGGGGTCACAGAAGTAGAGAAACTGTTGTGTTTTTTCAGGTTTATAAACGGCGACAGTGATTTCTTCGCCACTGTCACCTCCGACTGCACCTTCATCAACCTGGTCCAGGCTAATTCGTCTCCAGTTGGTGGTTCACTCATCAGCAGGTAGGTATTCCCCCCCCCCCACACACACACACATCCCCTTCTCTCTCTCCTTCTCTTTTTCTCTCCCCTTGTTTCTTTCTCCTGGT